TATAAAATGAAAATTTTACTTGAAATAAATGCAGTTTCAGCTGCATTTAACTTCACTACATTTTCTAATTTTTCCAATGTTTCGACCATACAACATTGTAAAGTTTATTTTACCTCAAACTGCACACTACATCTTGACCTTCCCAATTAAAAATCACTGAGGCGAAAAAGTGAATCAAAACTGTCAGCCAATCTTCCAAGAAAACGTTTATGGGTTTGGGAAATTCATAAATCGGATTTCCACAGGTTTTCTAGTCAGACTGAACAAGTAGGTAAACAAACATATACTTATATTTAATTCATATTTTATGAGGAAAAGCGCAAGCAATAGCCGAGTGAAATAGGAGTGCAGGTGTAAGTCGTTATGCAACCATCGTTTAAAGATCTTTGTTGGTGTTGATATTTTTGGCTGGTGAAAAAAATCACAATAAATTGAATAAACTAATGAAAAGAAATCAATGAATGGATGAATTACTGTGACGASCGGCAAATTGAAGCTGTTGATTACRTAATCAAAAACTGTAAATAAAAAGCGATTGATTACTTGAAGGGTATAAAAAATAAATAAATACAGCATGACTTGCCAATGAATTTCCCGGGGCAAAAAAAACAACAAAAAAACAATGTTAGTACTACTCGATCGTAGTATCTTGGGCTGAACAGGATGCRTTATAGACGTAGAGAAATACCGTCAGCGATTCAAATATTATCGCGATATATACGACAAATGATATCGCCTATATGAATTTTACAGTAAAAATGAAATTGAATTAACTTTAAATGGATAAAAACAAGCAGGATTCAGAAGACCATTAGTGAATGCATAAAAATAAAACAATTCTATAAAAAAATAAATGATTGATGAAATGATCTGAACAAGATCAGAAAAAAATAAAATGAATATGCAGATGAAATGAAAAGATGCCAGAAATGAATGAAGGTCGAATCTTACAATATATCTCCATTTATATACCATCAAGAGAAAATAAAAAGCAACTTTCTGCTTATTTTATGAAGTATTTCTATATTTATAATAACAGAAAAATGAATGATAAATGAACGAGCAGATGAAATGAAAAAAATGTCAGAAATGAATGAAGGTCGAATCTTACAATATATTTCC